CTTCGTCCCATCCCGCCATCCTGCCCTTGGTCGTGGCCAGAGGTCTCCTGGAGTCTAGGCCTCCTGGGGGCTTATTGGGAGCATCTTTGGGTGTCTTGGGCGCCTCTTCGTGACCTACACCTCGAGAACACATTGCTGGTCACGACGGCGAGGGTTGAGTGTGCACTTGCGCAAGGTATAGCTTGTCGGGCAGCGGCTCTGGGCCGACCAGGCCTTCCCAGGCCACACTCCTCAACACCGGTCGGGGAGGGTGGCGGCCGCTGTCTGCCCAGCAAGACGCCTCTGTTCTGCGCTCATCTGAACATGAGGCACATCGGTCGCGACCGGAACTCGAATCCAGTGGCCTTCGCCCCATCCCGCCACCCTGCCGTTGGTCGTGGTCAGAGGTCTCGGCCTTCTAGTGGCCTCTCGGGGGGCCTGTTTGGAGTCTCCTGGGGGTGTATTGGGAGCATCCGGGGGTATCTTGGGCGCCCCTTCTTGATCTACACCTCGAAAACAGGTTACTGGTCACAACGGCGAAGGTTAAGTGTGTAATGGTGCAAGGTATACCTTGTTAGGCAGCGGCTCTGGGCCGACTGGGCCTTCCCAGGTCACACTCTTCAACACTGGTCGGGGAGGGTGGTTAAGGAATAGGCGGTCATTAATGTCTGCCCAGCAACGCGCCTCTGTTCTGCACTCATCTGAACATGAGGCCCCGTATGACATCGCCTGGTTTTGAGGCTCCCGCGTTCTCTCTACAGCACCGCAGAGCTGTTGCACATCTAGTGACTGCCACCGCGTAGCCTTTTTGGCTCAAGCTGGCATGGCCTAAGCCACCTTGGGCCGAGGAGCTTGCTGAAGTGCTACGCGTTGCTTCCATGATCTCCGATTCATTTGGGGCTGGGGCTGCGCTGTATGCTCCTGCCCTGTGCGAGAGAACGCCTTGGTTATGGTCTTGCCTGCTTGAGCGCCTGCTCGTTTTACCCCCGGCGTTTCTCTACGTCGTCGACGGGGGCAGCTGCGGTCAGTTCCCACGGTCGCATTCGAAGAAAAAACGGAATCATCACTTGGGGTTGTTTGAACGATTCAGGGTACTACACTACCAGGATTGGTGGAAGCAATAATTATGTGCATCGGTTGGTGGCCCATGCTTTCTTGGGGCCACCGCCTTCGACGCAGCATTGCGATGTGAATCACAAGGACCGTGATCGTGGCAACAATCATATTAATAATTTGGAGTTCGTGACACGTTCCGAGAACGTCCTCCATTCGTATACAGCGAACAGTACTCGCAGAACTTCCGCAGATGCTTTCTCCAAACCGGTCCTCAGCAGATGGGCTGGACAAGGTGGTCGTTGGACCAATCACTCCTCTGGGCGCCTAGCGTCCCTCGAAACGGGTGTTGATCGCAGTGCCATCTGCAAGTGTTGCAAGGGCAGGATAATTTCAGCAAAGGGGTATGAGTTTAAATATGGAGCATCCACCGGTCCGCCATGTTTACCCGGCGAGGAGTGGCGTCTTGCTTTGCACCCATGCACAGGCAGAGAGCTATCGACCTGGGAGGTCAGCTCCCACGGACGACTAAAATCCTCTCGCGGAGTGGTCTCCTACGGCTCGCAGACTTTAGCTGGTTATCGTATTGCAGGAATAACAGCCGACGGCCAGAAAACAGATCATTACGTACATCGACTCGTCGCCCGAGCCTTTTTATGGCAACCATCTTTTTCAGAAGATCTCGTGGTCAATCACATCGACGGCAATAGAGGAAATAATTCCTCAAGTAATTTAGAATATGTGACTCGGTCGCAGAACGCGCGCATTTCAAAGAAATGGTGGATTGGACGCGCAAGTGCTGGAGTAACACAGTCGAAACCTGTGTGGGGACGGGTACTTGGATCTTTGTCATGGAAGTGGTACGCATCGATGGCGGAGGCCGCGCGCCTTTTGGATTTGAGGAGTGGCAATATATCGTCTTGCTGCAATGGGATCACACGACGCGCTGGTAGTTACGAGTTCAAGTTTGCAGATTCGAAAGTCCCCAGTGTGTTGCCTGGAGAGGTGTGGCGCGAGATCCCGCAGTGTGCGTTAAAGAAAAAGCCGTGAGTACACTTCGCCACTCGCTGCTTCACACATTCGGATTGCTACAGCACTCCACATTGCTCAGCACCCTGCGCACAGATGCGAGACGATGGATGGCGCATCGCCGCATCTTGAGCATTGCGTTCCACATCTGTTTCCCTGTGCGTATGTTGATGCTCGACACTGGTGCTTGCACCTTGTTCCGCACTTGCTCCTCCCACTCCCCCTTCGCCTCGTCATCTTTCTCCTCCGCCTCCTCCGCCTCTCCCATATTTCCGACTCCTCCGCCGCACATTCGTTTGCCGTGTTCTCCCATTGCCCACACTTGCGTTATCTTGGTTGCCAGTCATCCAGCCGCTTGCGGCAAGTCCCGCCACCGTTCCAGCCCATCATTCTGGGTGGCGAGTGCTCGAGGGGGCACGGAAGACCATCACGTTTGACCTTTCTTGCCTCCAGGCTTGGGAGAGCCGTGATGAAGATAATGAGGATTATGAGGATGTTGGTGGTGATGACGATGATGATGATGATGATGATGGTGATGGTGATGGTGATGGTGATGGTGATGGTAATGATGCTCATGATGGTGATGGTGATGGTGATGGTTTTGGTGGTGATGATGGGGTCTTGACGACGATGATGATGTTGATGATGTGTATGTGTGATGACGATGCCGATGTCGATGACGATTCCGTGATGATGTTGTGGATGATGATGATGTTCATGATGATGATGATGATGATGATGATGATGATGATGATGATGATGATGATGATGATGATGATGATGATGGTGACGGTGGGGATGATGTTTGTGACGATGATGAGGATGGTGTTGACGATGATGGTGATGATGGTGGTGATGATGATGTTGACAATGATGTCGATGATGTTTATCATGATGATGCATATGATGATGTCGATGGCGATGATGCTGGCAATGACGATGCCGATGACGGTGATGATGATGGTGATGGTGGTGATGATGATGATGATGATGTTCGTGACGATGTTGACCGTGATGGTGGTGATGATGATGTTGATTGTGATGTTGCTGACGATGGTGATGCCGATGATGTTGATGATCTTGATGCTGATGATGATGCAGATGACGCTGATGCCGACGATGTTGATGATGATGATGCTGTTGCTGATGATGATGCTGATGATGGTGATGATGATGCTGCTGATGCTGATGGCTAACATGATGCTGAGAATAATGTTTCATGATGCTGATGTTGATGATGATGATGATGCTGATGACGATGACGTTGACTATTCTGATGATGCCGATGCTGATTATGATGGTGCTTATGATGATGATGCTGCTGCTGCTGCTGACGCTGTTGAGGCTGCTGATAGTGATACTGATGATGCTGCTGATGATGAAGATGCCGATGATGATGCTGATGACGATGTTGATGATGATGCTGGTGCTGATGATGATGCTGATGATGATGGTGATTAGCTGATGATGATGTTGATGACGATGATGATGTTGGTGATGATGGTGATGATGATGATGATGCTGATGATGATGATGATGATGATGAGGCTGATGATGCTGCTGCTGATGATGATGAATATGATGATGACGATGATGATGATGATGATGAAACTGATGATGCTCATGATGATGCTGATGCTGACGCTGATGCTGATGCTGATGCTGATGATGATGATGATGATGATGATGATGATGATGATGATGATGATGATAATGATGATGATGATGATGATGATGATGATGATGATGATGATGATGATGATGATGATGATGATGATGATGATGATGAGTATTATACAACTCGTTTGGGCCGTCTTGGGGCTGTCGTCGCCGCAGCCCGGGAGGCATTCTCGGGGGACCCGGGCCCTCTTGGCCGTCTCGGCGCCCTCTTGCGCCAGTTTGGGGCTCTCTTCGGCCCTCTTGGGCTTGGCCGTCGTATGCTGGGTTTTCGGAGGCCTTCGTGGGGCCGTCTTGGCGCCGTCGAAGGGCCGTCGAAGGGCCCTCTAAGACCGTCTTGGGTCCCACGGGAGGCCGTCTTGGAGCCGGTCTGCTTGCCTCTTGGGCCATCGTGGAGTCTTCTTGGGCCGTCTTGAGCTGACAGCAGCTCGAAAGGCGAGAATGCGAGAATCATCCAACAAAAAACCAATGGGAATACAGGCCTCCTCCTCTCAGTGGGCAGCTCTCTCCCCGATGACCTGGAAGGGAATACTATGTGACAGTTCCGCCCACGCTCGCAGGACAGCAGTGCGGCCGCGCCATTCTGGGTGTACCCAACGAGTCCAGAGGCTCTTCCAGTGGCGCTGCCTGCGGGGGTGTTCTCGGCGGATCAAAAACATTCAGCTGCAGCCAATCTTGATCACAAGGATGAGTAGCTTTCCAGGAGCACCCTTTCATCCCTGCATCTTCAGCCCATCCTTGGCCCGTATCGCTGGCCATGGTTGCTCAAAAGGTTCCAACTTGGGCGTCCAACGTTCAAGAGCCCTGCGTCCTTACTGCGCATTCCTACAAGCCTCGCCAAAAATAAATTGAGACGCCGTTCAGCACCGAAGCGCCCGATAGTTCGGGCACTCTTCAGAAAATGCGTTTTTCAATGCTGTGAGGGATCTGTCGGGTTTCGGACACCCCTGCGTGTTGGGCCAAACACTTCATGTCAGCATTTAAATAGTGCCGACCGCGCAAGCGCCGAAAACAAAAACCGACAATGTATGTTTGACGAGTTTTGAATGACACTGTTGCGCTGTATTCTCCCCTGGGCCCCAGGGGCAGAGACTGCGTTGCCTTTCGGCTCTGCCCTGAAGCTGCATGTCGCTGCTCAGGTCCGCACGCTAGGAAGAAAGAAGGCCATGGCTGTGGTTGCGCCCGGACCATCAGCTGCTGCCAGAGGGGTGCCACTGCCGCCACTGCTGGGCGCCGTTCAAAAGACGCGCCAGGATGCCAGGATGGCTCTTGAGAGGGGGCTCGGGGCCGATTCTGACTGCTTGCGTTTGGGGGAAGAGCAAGCTTGTTGTTCGGAGGCTCCTGCGCTCAGCAGCGCGTGTTCTCGTGCCCCCGCTGTGACAGCACAGAGAGCAAGCGAAAGGCCCACAGCTTGGCTCGAGTCGTCATCACAGCGGCGGGCGCGCGTGATGCCCCCGCCGGCCGCGCCACCCCGAGTGCAGGTCATCGCCGAGTGCTCCCCCGACGGCGCGCCGCCAGGGCGCACCAGGGCCCCCCGCCACGGCAGCCACGAGGCCATCGCCGAGGGCCCCTCCGACTGCGCGCCGCTGGGGCGCGCAAGGGCCCCGCGCCCCCTCCGCCATGGCAGCCAGGAGCGGCGGATCAGCGACGAGGCGCGGGGAGGCCCGCCGCTGCCTGCGTGCCGAGGCAGCCACGAGCGGCGGATCAGCGACGAGGCGCGGGGAGGCCCGCCGCTGCCCGCGTGCCGACAGGGCGCCCGCCAGGCGCCCGGCAGCGCGGAGAGCCACCCCCGCGGCAGCGGCGGCCACCGCGGGAGCGTCCTGGGCGGCGCCCGCCGCGCGGGCAGGCACGCCAGCCTGGAGCGGCCCCCGCAGCAGCCCGCGAGGCGCGCCTCTGCGCGCGGCAGCTTGCTGCGGGCGGAGCTGGCGCGAGGCGCCGCGGAGGCCGACGCCCGCGCAGCCGGCGCAGAGGGCGAGGTGGACCGCGAGGAGCTCGCAGAGGGCATCGGCATCCACAGGCCGAGCGAAGGGCCGCGGGCGCGCGAGGCGGAGCGGTCCGCGCCGGCCCCGGAGATGGCAGCGGCGGCCCGGCTTCTGCGGTGCGGGCCCGTGTTTTCGGGCTTCAGCGAGAAGGCTCTGGCCGACGTGGCGGGGGCCATGGAGGCGCGCACGTTCAGGGCCGGCGAGCCGATCTACCGGGAGGGGGAGCGTCAGCACTGGCTGGGCGTCTTGGAGTCGGGAACGGCGAGCGTCCACGTCGCTCTCGGTGCCTCCGACCAGGCTAGCGCCGAGCAGCCGCTTGCCGTGCGCGCGGGGAGTCACATCGCAGACATTCCAGAAGGCGGCCTCTTCGGGGAACTGGCGGCGCTGGGCATCCGGGAGCACCGCACCTCCACCGCCACTGCGGCTAGCGCCGAGTGCCGCGTCCTCGTGCTGCAGGCCGACGCGCTGGCCAGAGCTCTGCAGGCGCACCCCGACGAGGAGGTGCTGCTGACGCGGGCGGCGGACCGATGGCGCGCCTTCCTCGACTGGAGGCTGGCGGCACAGTGCCACCCTGAGCTCGCCTACCAGCTGCGCCGCGGCGCAACCGCGCGCGTCCTGGAGCCCGGCGAGTGTCTTGCCCTTGGCGCAGGCGGCGCCGAGCCTGGCGCCCTCACCGGCGACGGGCCAAGCCTGAGCGGGAGCACGGCGGTGGTGGAGTGCGGGCGCGCCGCCTCCATGGGCGAGCACGCGGAGGCCTACGGCCCCGGCGCCGCGATCTGCGACGAGGCCGTGCTCGGCGTGAGGGGCGCGGCGACCGTCGTGGCTGGCGACAGGCCGTGCCACCTGGCCCTGGTCTCCCGTGGCGCGTTCTGGGCCCTCGCCGCCCGCTTCGCCCGCGAGCGGGAGGCCTTCGTGCGGCTCGCGCTGGACCGCCTGCCGCTCGTGACCTTCGACGTGCTCTCCTGCCGCATGCTGGCGCACCTGCAGGGCTCCCCCGGCTTCTGGCGGGTGGTGCAGAGCTCCGTGCGGCAGCGCGTCGTGCACCCGGGGGCGGACGTCTGCGGCCCGGGGGAGGAGGGCGGCGACGCTGCAAGGGGTGTGGCTGCTTACGCCGGGGTGTGGTGTGCGAGCGGCGCCGTCGGGGGCTCACGGTCAAGAGCTTGGGCTCAGCGCGCGTCGCTCCGCCGGTGCTGGCCCACCGCCCGCTGCAGGGCGGCACGCTGTCCGCGTCGCAGTGCCCGGGCGTCCATGTGCCGAGCTTTGTCGGTCCTCCCGCCCCGCGGAGCGGAGCGACGCGCTGTAACTGCCCGCTTGCACGACACAGCGTGCCGCCGGGGCCGCCGCGGCGACACGCTATCCAACAGTTCCCGACCGTATGGGCACCGCGCTGCGCCAAAGGTTTGAGGAGCCCTCGTCGGGGCGCTGCGGAGGTCCACGTCGAGGTCCTCGCTCGCCCTCCTGGGCGCGAGCTGCAGGCCACACCCTGAAGCCAACCGCACCCTTCGGAGTCGCCGGAGGAGGGCGGCGTGCTGACGTTCTTCCAGGAGGGGCTCGCGGAGGTTGTCATCGGCGGGCGCCGGGTGCGGCGGCTCGGGGCGGGCGACTCGTTCAACGAGCTCGGCTTCCTGTGCGGGGTGGGCCGGCGCGGTGCGACGGTGCGGGCGCTGGAGCTGTGCGTGCTGCAGGAGCTGCGCCGCGCCGACATCGAGTACCACCTGACCCGCCACCACGCCATCCGCGCCTGCTTCCGGGAGCTGACGAGGCTGCGCCCCCACTTCAAGAGGGACCTGTCGATCGCGGACCAGGCGAGCGGCGCTGCAACGAGAACAGTGAACAGCAAGCGTGAGCCAGCTGCACAGGCCGTCGCGCGTGGGCCGCCCGCGAGCGGTCGCGCGTGAGCGCTCTCTTCTCGGCGCGGCGTGCCGCGCTAGCTGCCTGGGTAGGCCACCGCGTAGGTCACCGTCAAGGATAGAGGGAACGGGTCTTGGGCCACGGGGCTTTCCCCAGGAGCAGCTCATCGCCCTGAGCCGTTTTTGTCATGGTCGCGAAGCCCGAGAAGGAGGGGGAGGAGGAGGAGGAGGAGGAGGAGGAGGAGGAGGAGGAGGAGGAGGAGGAGAGGAGGAGAGGGGAAGGGGAAGGAGGGGGTGGAGGAGGAGGAGGAGGAGGAGGAGGAGGAGGAGGAGGAGGGGAGGGGGAGGGGAGGAGGAGGAGGAGGAGGAGAGGAGGAGGAGGAGGAGGAGGAGGAGGAGGAGGAGGAGGGAGGAGGAGGAGGAGGAGGGAGGGAGGGGAGGAGGGAGGAGGGAGGAGGGAGGAGGGAGGAGGGGAGGAGGAGGAGGGAGGAGGAGGAGGAGGAGGAGGAGGAGGAGGAGGAGGAGGAGGCGAGGGGAGGAGGAGGGAGGGGGAGGGGAGCAGGAGGAGGAGGGAGAGGAGGAGGAGGAGGGGAGGTGGAGGAGGGGGAGCAGGAGGAGGGGGAGGAGGAGGAGGAGGAGGAGGTGGAGGAGGGGGAGGTGGAGCAGGGGGAGGAGAAGGAGGTCGTGGAGGAGGAGGAGGAGGTGGAGGAGGGAGGAGGTGGAGGAGGGAGGAGGCGGAGCAGGAGGAGGGGGAGGAGGAGGGGGAGGAGGAGGGAGGAGGAGGACCCCCAAAGCGCCGAACACGTTCCGGGGCCCCCTTCCTCCAGGACACGCCTCCTTCATGGTGCGTGGGTGATGCTGCCCCACCGTCGCGCGCAGCACTCCTCTCGTCGCCCGGGTGGGCGTCCTCACCGACACTGGCGCGCAAGCTGCCCGCGTAAGGTTGCGCGTGAGCGCCCGCGCTTCAGTGTAGCTCAGCATCGGTTAACCGACCCCCGTCCCCCCATCCACATCCCCCATCCCCCCATCCCCCCATCCACATCCCCTTCGAGACCCCCACCAGATGACCACCCCACTCGGGGATGCACCCCTCGAAACCCGAAGGGAACGACCTATATCCCCATCCAGGGGGGTCAATCGGCCAGTGGAGCGAGCCCAGCCCACGCCGCTGGGGATGGGGATCGGTTCAACGATGCTCAGTAGCGATCCGCCCGTGCGGCCCGCATAAGCCGCCGCGTAGGGTCGCTATGCCATCCCGCGTAAGGCCCGTTTCTTGTCGCCGCTCAGGTGAGGCTGCTTGAGGGCGTGCACTTCTTCGCTGGCCTGCCGCACCCCTTCCTGGAGGACGTCACCTGCCAGCTCGAGGACAGGGTCTTCCTCCCAGGGCAGGCCATCCTTCGAGCCGCCGAAACTGGCGAGGTCCTCGCGCTGCCCTTTGTTGATGAGTGGGCTTGCTTCAGGTGTTCTGTATTCTGCTCTGGGCGACTGGCCTGTGTCGTCGTAGTCGACCGTCGACGCGCTTGGATGAATGGTCTGCGTCGGTGAACTGTGTCGTGGCAGTCGGCCGTCGGCTCGCTTGGATCGGCATGGCTCTGGTCGGTGAGCTGCGTCGTCGCAGTCGGCCGTCGGCTCGCTTGGGTCGGCATGACTCTGGTCGGCGACATGGGTCGTCGCAGTCGGCCGTCGGCTCGCCTGGGTCGGCATCGCTCTGGTCGGTGGGCTGGCAGTCGGCCGCCGGCTCGCTCGCTTCGGCACGGCCCTCGGCCGCGGCGCGTCCTTCCCCTCTCTCCTCTCTTGCAGTGCACCCAGGCTGCTGCGCAGCAGCGCTGTGGCCGCCCGACCGCTCTCCGTGAGCGCCACCTCCGCGCCGAAAGACAAGGCTTCGGCATGGCTCGCGTCCGCACGCGTGGCGTCGGCACGGCCGGGGTCGGCGCAGCCTCGCGCGCTCCACCGGCGCCGTGCGTCGCAGAGGCGGCCGTCGGCGCGCCAGGGTTTCTGCGTGGGGCCGGTGCGGGCCCTGTCAGCTGCACCTCTCGGATTGCACCCCATGCTCCTGGCTCGCACAGACTGTTGCCACGCGTACCCCCGTTTCTCTCGAGCAGTTTCGATTCGGTTCCCCCGTGCCGAGGCCAGGCTTCTACGCCCCTTCTCTGCGTAGTGGCAGGTGTGATGCACGAGCGCTCGTCCCGGATAGGAGTTCTCTCACCATGCCCCCTGTACCCTTCGAGCCTGGCAAGTACTGTGCGGAGCACTCGCTTTGATCTTATAGGGGCATGTTCAAGGAAGCTGTGACAAGTCGTACCGTACGGGCCACACATGCGCACATGTCAAGCTCATTGCAACCGACATCATGCGCTGTAACGTGCGAACAAGCGGATTGCGACATCGAACATTACACATGCGCCCTAAGTCACAAGATGGGTCAGAATTGTGTGCGCGCTGGCTGGAATCATACGAACACGCGGGCGCACGTCGAGTTCATTCAACTGTCGTCGCCCCCATCGCCCACTCCGCCAGATGACACCATGCGGGCCACGCGCGCGCGTCCCCCTGCGCGCGCACTGTCGGAGGCATTGCCAACCCATGTCGAAGTGATTTGCAGGCGAAGGTGTGCCAGAGTTCCTGCGTTCTTGCGTGCTTGCACTCTCGCCATCCTCAGCACCACCATCAGCAACATCAGCAGCATCAGCACCACCATCGCCATCAGCATCATCATCGTCGCCAGCGTCACCAGCACCGTCGTCATCGTCGTTACCGTCATTCTCAGCAGCGCCGTCGCATCAGCACCACCGTCGTGCGCCGCAGCGGTAGCATCCTCGTCGTCGTCATCATTATCATTATCACCGTCACCGTCGGCATCGTCACCAACATCGTCGTCGGCGCCGTCGTCCTCATCGTTAGCGCAACCACCATCAGCATCGCCGTCGTCGCCGACGTCGTCGTCGTCAGCATCATCACTCGCAAACCCGAGCTGTGGATCTGAATGAGCTGTGCAGCTATTTGAGCTGTGCACAGTTGAGTTTTGCAAAATCCACTGCGCCATTTGAGGTTTGAACGGAATTGCTGGTGGATGGGTGGGATGTTTGCTTGCGCATTGGATGTTAAGAATTCAAGGCTTTCAATGTCAATTGTACTTGCACCCCGTATGGTGGATCTCACAAGATGCACCCAGTGTACAGCCACACACCGACTGCACTCCACACAAAGGTTCCTTATCCGACAAGAGTATGAAAGAGATCAGACTTCTACCACAACCCCACCCCACCCAACCCCACCCCGACCGAGGCCGGATTTACTTCACCCACTCCGCGGGCCGTTCGTGTTGTCAAAGGTTACGATGGACATCCTACGTTCCAAGTCAGGCCTTGCCCCTCCCACCGACACTTCTGGCCACAACTATTGTATGGTGCACACGCGGGGATCTAAGAAGTTCTGGTTCCGAAAACCCATCGAGAAATAGACGATGTGGGGCACATGCGCACGCCACCGCGGGCGCATGTCAAAATCATTCAAAACCGCAGGAATTCGAACACTGTCAAGACATATCGCTTCAGAGTTTATCAGAAGCCAGTAGTTATCCAACATAGTTTTGTTCCACCGTTCTGTACGCGCACTCCGTGACATCAAAATAAAACCAAGGTTTGTGAGCCACTTTGTCAAATCTGACCATTCGGGCCATTCGCGCGAGCTCATATCGAAAACGTGCAACCACCATCGCGCGCCCGCCAACTCTGGCATACCATACGGGCGCCACGCGTGTGTATCCGCAGGTGAACGTCGAGACTCTTCCAAAAGCATTGACTCTATCATGACGTCAGCACAGGCAGACGCGTTAAACACGTACAGTTACGAATGCCAGATTCTGTTCCGTCAGAGTACTTCAGTGCCCCCGATGTTTTACCAGCGCGCACTTCCTCATCGTCCTCCTGATCATCACAATCGTTATTGTCATCGTCTGTCAGCGTCATCATCCGTATTATCATGATCGTCACCGACGCCATCACCACCGTCATCGTCAATGCCGGCCGTCGCCTGTGTCGAATCGTTGCGCGCTGCATCATCATCACAAACACCATCGCCATCATCATTGCCAGCGGCATCGTTGCCATCGTCATCATCATCACCATCAGCTTCATCACAATCACGGACGTCGTCGACATCGCATCGTCCCCATTTCCCGGGCCATCACCATCGACATCAGCTCATCACCTTTGTCACCGCCATCGTTGTTGGCGTCGCGGTCGTCTCAATCGCCACCAACATTCCGCGACCTGCAGGACGGATCTGTCAGCGCGATTCGGTTCCGCGCGCCCGTACGCTCGTTGAGATATTGGCAGTGGTCTGCCAAAAAATAGCAGTTGGGAGGGTGGGGTGTTTGCACGAGCATGGGAAGTGGTCACGCGTGGATGTTGCGGGGTGGGTGGATTCTCCTTTCTAAAAACAAAAATAGACTCTACCCCCCCCCCGCGGAGTTGTCGCTACCCCTTTCGGATATGTAAATCACATATGATTCTGACCACATGTCCATCCTAAATATGAAATCACAATGTCCCAGGCCAACCGGGTTCCCCCCCCTGAGGTTCCCTTGTAAAAAACACTATGCGGTGACATTTTCTGTTCTAAGATACAACTTTTTCGCGAATCCCTTGCAACAACAATTGGACGAAGTGCACACGCGCGCGTCGTCGCGCGCGCATGCCGAAATCCTTAGAAAACCTTCGGTGCCGGAAGGATTTCGCAATCGAGTTTCCAAAAAACATACAAAAACACAGGGTTTCGCAACACTGATTTGCTAAACAAGCTTCCGCGCGAGCTCTTGCGAAATCTTCAGAAAACCATAGGATTTTCACAAAATGCCACCTAACGGGCTTCGCGCGCGCGCATGTCGAAATCTGTCGAACGCCCTTGCGCGTGTGCCGTCGCGAGAATCCTCTGCAAAAAATAGGACGAAGTGCAGACGCTCGCGTCGTCGCGAGCGTATGCCGAAAACCTTCAAAACCCATAGGTTTCGGAAGGATTTCAACATCGTGTGTCCGAAAAACCTACAAAAACACAAGGTTTCGCAACACGGATTTTCAACAAAAGCGTGCGCGCGCGCTCTTGCGTCGTCGTCGTCGTCGTCGTCGCCGTCCTCCCTCCTCCCGCGTCGTCGTCGTCGTCGCCTAATTACGTCGTCCTCTGTGTTTCCTCGTGTTCGTCGTCGTCGTCCTCTTTGGCGTCGTGGTCGTTTCCGTCGTCGTTGTCGCCGTGGTCGTCCTTCCTCCTCCGTCGTCGTCGTCGTCGTCGTCCGTCGTCGTCGTCCCTCCTATTTCGTCGCCGTCGTCATCGTCGTCGTCGTCGTTGTCGTCGTCGTCGTCTTCCCTCCTCCCTCGTCGTTGTCGTCGTCGGCGTCGCCGTCCTTCCTCCTTCTTCGTCGTTCGCGTCGTCGCCGTCCTCCCTCCTCCCTCGTCGTTGTCGTCGTTGTCGCCGTAGTCGTCCTCCCTCCTCCCTCGTCGTTGTCGTCGTCTTCGTTCGCGTTGTCGTCGTCCTCCCTCCTCCCTCGTCATTGTCGTCGTTGTCGCCGTAGTCGTCCTCCCTCCTCCCTCGTCGTTTTCGTCGTCTTCGTTGGCGACGTCGTCGTCGTCGTCGGCGGCGTCGGCGTCGTCGTCGTCCTCGTCGTCGTCGACGTCGGCGCCGTCGTCGTCGCCACCGTCGTCGTCGTCGTCGTCGTCGTCGTCGTTGTCGTCGTCGTCGGCGCCGGCGTCGTCGACGTCGTCGTCGTCGGCGTCGTCGTCGGTGTCGTCGTCGTTGTCGTTTTCGTCGTCGTCGTCGTCGTTGTCGTCGTCGTGGAAGTCGTCGGAGACGTCATCGGTGTCGTCGTAGTCGTTGTCGCTGGTGTCGCCGTAGTCGGTCTTAAGAGGTTTTGCAAACCAAGTTGCGGGTGGGTGGGTGGGATGTTTGCGCGAGCAGTGGAGTCGACAACTCATGGGTAAAAATCAGTTGCAGCCCATAGATTGGACCACGCAGGGTGAAGTTTATGGGTTGCACAGAGCCGTTGTTTGGCGCCCACACGCTGACATCGTTCCCCAATCAGTGCTTGCACTGGGGGGGTCCCACTTCGTTCCTGGGTAATTCCACGAGGAGAAAAAAAAGCACAGACGCAACGAATCGTCGATTTCCCTGGAAATATGGGAAAATATGGGAAGTGTGGGGGAGACAAGAACCCAGAAAATATGGGAAAATATGGAGAATGTTGTTATTTGTGTGTGTATTTATTTGTGTGTCCCAGGGCCCCTCCATCATTGGCCTGCTCTTGCGGGCTCGGGCCCCGCGCCCGCCCCGGGCCCGTGCCGTGCCCGCTACTTACGCGCCTTGGCCGCGTGGCCCGAGCCTTGCGCCCGTGCCCGCCTCGCGCGCGCGTTGTGCACTGGCTGGCTTGCTTTTGCCAGGGGACTTCGCCCAGAGCCGGCCCATGCCGAGCTAGGACGAGGACGAGCCCGTTCCAGAGCCTTCCGGAACGCCCAGGTTTTCGCCCGTGCCCGCCTCGCGCGCGCGTTGTGCACTGGCTGGCTTGCTTTTGCGAGGGGACGTCGCCCAGAGCCGGCTCATGCCGAGCGGGGCTAGGAAACGGTAGCTCTTAACCGTGAGAAAATAAATTACCGTGAAAAAAAAAACAATACAAACATGTAAAATCAACACGTAAACGTGAGACAAAAAAACACGTAAAAACAACACCTATAAACAACACGTAAAAAACCTTCTTGGACGAGGATGAGTCCGGTCCAGAGCCTTTCCGGAACGCCCTCAGAGCGTCCCGGAGCGCTCTGCGAAGGCCGCGAGACGCCCGATGCATCCTCCAGAGCCGCCGGATCCCAGAGACTCTCGATTTGCAGTGGAGGCCCATGCCAAGAGACACCCTGCTTGCCTCCAGGGTGCCCAGGGTGTCTTGGGCTTGGGTGGCTCTGCGACGGAGAGTGCGACGCCCCCCGCACCGAACATCAGTGGATGTCCCGGGGTCTCAGGGCTGGGCTTCTTGTGGAAGCTTTCTTGTGGACTGGCCTCCAGTTCGAAGATCTTTCAAGAGCTCGTTAAAAAAGAAAAGGACATAAGCTCAGGAATCACAGCATCATGACTTTCCTCTTTCTTTTTCATATGAAAATTTAGATGCAAACATGATTTCAATCATTTATTGTTTGCTTTATTTAATTTTAATTATGAAAAGAAAGACCCGAAGTTGTCCTCGTCCTGGATCTTGGCATCGCTCGGACGTGTGCACTTTTTTCCCAGCGAGAACCACCGAGGACCATCCTGGACCATCGAGCAAACAAAAGCACGCACGAAGCCGAAAAAAAATGCACGGGACATGGACGTCCGAGCGGCGGCAGGGGTTTCGTCCTGCCAGGCGCGCCGCGTGCCCGCCCCGTGCGCTGCGGCGGGCTCCTCCAGAATCGTTGGCCCGGTGCCCGGCCGCGCCCGCCTCTCCCTTCTGGCCTGTGCACGTTGGGCGGCGATTTCGATGGCGACGACGATGGCGACGACGATGACGACGACGAGGATGATGACGCGGATGGTGACGATGACGATGATGACGATGATGCTGATGCTGATGCCGATGACGGTAACGATGACGATGACGACGGCGACGATGACGACGACGAGGACGAGGACGACAACGACGACGACGACGATGACGACGACGATGACGAGGACAACGACGACGACGATGACGATGACGATATCGACGACGACGACGATGACGATGATGACGATGACGATGACCATGATGATGGTGACGACGACAATGATGACGATGATGACGATGATGATGATGATCATGATGATGATGATGATGATGATGATGATGATGATGATGATGATGATGATGACGATGGTGATTTCGGCGGCGACGACGACGATGACGATGGCGATGACGATTGCCATCGTCGTCGTCACCGTCATCACGGCACAGTCGTCGTCATCGTCCTCGCCCTCGCCCGGTGTGCTCGCCCGTGCGCGCCTCGGTGTGCTGGCCGGCGTCCCCAGTGGCACGTCGAGTGCAGCGCGCGGCGCCGCACGGCACGAGCGTCACCTCGGAGATTCGCCATAGAGGTTGGACTGCACAGCCTGCACCAAACAGGCTGCACAACACAGCCTGCGGCCCGTGGATTCCACCCAATATAACATAATAGTATGTACATATATAGAGAGAGATCTGTGATCAAATCTATTGAACAAGATGTCTTGCAACAAGCAGTTTGCACCCCATGGCCTGCACAAAAAAATACCTGGCACGGCACGTGCTGCGCGCCAAGGCAAGTGCATCTCTCGTGCGATGCAGCACGCTGGCTGCAACACAGAGGCTGCACCGCACAATCTGCACAGCAAAGACTGCGGATCGAGAGTGCAGGAGTCCGCAGCTTCGGGTCCACGCTGACAACGCTTCTAGCTTTTCCCCGACGAGCGCTTGTACTTGCAGGTGTATATAGTCGGGGCCCTGAAGAAGGAACCCTTTTCGTTGGGGAGGGGCTCCGCGTTCCTTGAGTGTTTTACAGCCTGCCTCAGGTGTTCCTGCTGTTTCCGATCGGAGATCGAAGTTTAACTTCTGGTAAAGAGGGGCCTCGCTCCTTATTTAGGGGCCGGCCTCTGGCGGCCCGTGGCCGCTGGCCTTGGCCACGATCTCTTGGCTGGAGCTTTTTTTTGGATTCTGGCAAGTTTACTTGCATGGCGTTCGCCCCCCCCCCCCCCCCTCGCCCCTCTTCAAGCGAATGCTAGCGTGCAAGTGCCTTTCGACTCGCGTGATTTCCGCGCCCCCCCGAACGTGCAAGTCGTTTGCGGCCTGCTTCAGGCTCAGCCCCCCCCTTCCGTCCATGCAAGTAAACTTGCCAGAGTCTTAAAAAAACAGGCTCCTGCACGGTGCTCGCCGTTAGGGGCTCCGGGCCTTGGTTGTCGGGCCGGCCAGCGCGTGGCCGCCCGTGGCCGCCGTCTTGGGCCACGATCTTGCATTGCGCGCGGTGCGCAGGATGGCATGGCCTGGCATTGCTTTGCGTTGCGTGGCGCTGTTTTGGCGTTGAGTCGCACTGCATCGCACTATTTCGCATTAGGTTGCATTAGGTTGCATTGCTCTGCGTTGCTCTGCATTGCTGTGTGCTGCGCTGTGCTGCCTTGCGCTGCTGTGCGCCACACCGATTGCACCACACGGGCTCCCCCACGCAGACTGCACCACATGGATTGCAGCACCGAGATTGCGCCGCAGAAACGGCAAGGCGTCACTGCTTGGGTTCCGTGCTGCCTAACACGTTGAGAGGCATGCCCGAACAAAAGGTCATGGTGCTGCTGCTCAACGGCGCGGCCGCGCGCCGGGGCTCCGGGGACCGCGTGCGGCCTGGGCGCTCGCCGGAGGCGGTGGGCGAGATCGGCATGATCTGCTCGTGCACGGAGCCGCAGGAGGTTCTCAGGGGGGAAGCCATGCCGATGCTGGTCATGTCCCCGCGGGGAGGACCAGGTGCCGATGCCGCTACGCGCCCCTCGCTGCCACGGCCGCATGCGCCTCGCGTTCGTGGTCAGAGCGCGCCCCAGGAAAGGTCCTGGGGGGGTAGCGGCACCAGCACCTTTTTGTTACCCCAGATCGCTCGTTTTCGCCCCTTGGGGCGCATCCTTAAGAGCCCTCGTCCTAGAATCCGAGTCCACCTTTCGGGAGCGGCAGCGGCATCGTCTTCTCTTTCAGTTTCCCCAGGACTTGCTGGCCACCGAGGTCTGTTGCGTCAAGGTTCTCCACCGCTCGCTGTTCCTCGACTGCTTGCGGAGGTGCAGCGACGTGAAGTGGCACTTCGAGGCCATCGCAAGGCGGCATATGCAGGACAGTTCCACCGAGCAGGATCCCGGCACATCCAACATATACACCTTGCCATTCTTCCGCGGGTGCGACAGCAGGTTCATCTACAAGCTCGACTT